CCGCCGATGTGGTCTTCATCGGGCTGAGAGACGTGGATCCAGCAGAGCAGTGAGTGCACCTGAGTCCATGCAGAGACTCACCTATTTCTGACGCCCCTCTGACCAATCAGCTCGTCCCGAAGCATTTTGGAGATGATTGAAATGAAATCTCAATAAAAAATTTAAAGAAGCAAAAAGCTCTGAAAGGTCAGCGACCTCGCTCTGGTCTGAGGGTCACCAGAAGTTCATTACCTGCGTGTACCTGAGTGTACCTGCCGGCAGGCTCTAATCCTGAGGTTTTCTCCTCCTCAGCTACATCCTGAAGATGCTGGGGGTGAAGACCTTCTCCATGAGTGAGGTGGATCAGCTCGGCGTGGCCCGCGTCATGGAGGAAACGTGTGATTACCTGTCCGCCAGGTGATGCCTGCATGAAGCCACCAAGGTGTGATAGTCTGAGCGAATGTTAAAGATGCTTTGTGTCCTTGAACAGAGGGAAGAAACCGATTCACCTCAGCTATGACATCGATGCCATCGACCCCTCTGTTGCCCCAGCAACCGGGACGCCTGTAGTTGGTGGACTCACCTACAGAGAGGGCGTCTACATCACAGAACATCTGTGTCAGACAGGTACGAGTCAGAAACTCAGGGAAAAACAAACCCTGCTCTTCACAGTAGAAGCGTGTTTAGTGTAAGCAGCCACATTAGCTGCTTACAGTAAACAACAGCTCTCACTTGGTGTTGGCTGTCGCTGCGGTAGAGTGTCACTTCCTGTTCCTGTTCCAACGCACACTGGTTTAGCCAATCTGTGTATATTCACAGTATTCACTCACTCTGTCTTTGGGGATTAGGGCTGACAGCTGTCCCGTTTTAGTGTCTCTTATTTGGCAGTTAAAAAGTTGGCAACCCTATCCTGGTGTGAACACGTGAACCGTGCTTCTGGGTCCAAACTACTCTGTGTTTATTAAGGCTGTTGTGTGTTTCACATGTTTTAACAGTTTGTATCTTGTTCTATTTAATCTGAACAAACCCCTAAAAAGTCAGTTATCGCTGTCGGCCTCTCTGGGTTTTTATTACCACCTTTCAGCAGCACATTTTAAAGCTCAGTGTTTAAACCCTTACGATGTAACTGCAGCCC